ATGGACTCTGAAAAACAAACTGAGGGTTCTAGAGGGGCGGGGGGTGGGAAGATGGGTTAGCCTGGTGGTGGGTATTAAAGAGGGCACGTTCTGCATGAAGCACTGGGTGTTATACGCAAACAATGAATCATGGAACACTACATCAAAAACTAATGATGTATGGTGATTAACATAATAAATAAATAAAATAAAAATTTTAAAAAAAAGTAACTTAAGAATCAGGATAATTACAATCCACACAATTCTAACATAAAGCTAATTTGTCTCTCACTGTTACTTTCTAGAAAAGGAAAATGGGTAGTTACTACCAAAGTTTAGTCAATGAGTAACAAGCGAGAAGAATTAAATTCAGTTTGCTAAAACCCTACCATGAATTTACTCCAAATTTGCTGTAGAGGTGAGAAGACAAAACCCAGCAATCCAGTAAATTCGGAAGTAAATAAAACACAGTAATCCAGTAATTTCAGAAGAAGGCTACTTTTTAAAACCATCATGTTTACAAAATATCACAGACTTATTTTGGACAGACCTTTGCAACGGAGTGGAAAGGGCAACAGACCAGGTATCTGGCGTTTTATTACTACTTGTGTGTGAGGGGGATGGCTACTGGAGGAGGCCAACCCTGCCTCAGTTTCCCCCTTACTAAAAAGGGTCTAGCCCTCCATTTGTTCCTGACAGACCCGAAGTGAAAGCAAATGGACTGACAAAGGTCTGCAAATATTCTCGAGGTCTCAGAAGATTTTTGTATCGCACACATACCAGGAGAGACTATCACCAGCAATTATACTCGTCTGGCCCCAAGTACCAAAACTGGTGGAATAACAGCTCCCCAGTCCCCAGTGATGTTAAATTCTCCTTCGTAGTAGTAAACATTAAAACGGCCAGTGACTTAGTCACAGCTCTTCCTGACGCAGGTCCCTGGGGCTCACCTGGGAAGTCCTGCAAACTCAAGTCACCTGAAGTGAGAGGAATACACAAAAACCGGGCAGGGGAAGGAGTCGGACAAGTTCTCCAAGTTGGAACTGCAGAGTACGTCTCAGTTTCGGAAAGGACTCTGGGGATGGGTCCCAGGGGGCGGAGGTCCCGGGCGGTGCCACGGGCACCTGCCTACCTCTAGCCAGTCTCGCCTTCGGGGACCCACTCGGCCTCGGTTGACTTGGGCGTGGACTCCGAGTCCGGGTCCTCCGCGGGCCGCACCTCTGGCCCCGCTCCCCAGAAGACTAGAAAAAGCGCGGTGGGACAACCCTGCCGGCCAGCCCCGGCCGCGCCCTCCTCCGCACCACCCCCCCAACGCGCCCGGCGGCCACCCGAGCCCCCGGGAGGGGGAGGGGGAGGCAGGGGACCCGGCGCAGCCCCACTCACCTTCTGGATGGAGGACTTGCCGCTGCGCCGGAGCCCCATGAGCAGAATCCTCGGCTTGGAGCTGTCAGCGCCCCCCGGGCCACAGCCTCCGCCGGCCCCCGCCCCAACCCCGCCGCCCGCGGCTGCCGCCTCCTCTTCCTCCTCCTCCACGCCGTAGCCGAAGTCCTTCGGAAACGAATCTGCCGCGCCGTAACTGCCGGCCAGGGGCGTCTCCTCCGCCCCGTACTGCAGGGACATGGTGCTGGAGCTGCCGCCGCCCGCGCCCTGACAGGCCAGGCCAGGCCAAGCCAGGCCGCCGCCTCCCCAGTCCGCCGCCGCCGCCGCCGCCCCCGGCAGCCTCCACCGCCGCGGGGCCCGCCCCCTAGAGCCCGGCCCTCATAGGCTCCGCGCCGAGGCCCAGCCCCTCATTGGCCGCCCGAGCTGCCACTCGGGAGCAGCAGGGTAGGTGGTGCCCGTCACGTGCCCGGAATCACCTGACTTGGAGCCGTGGAGGGGGGAGGAGGAGTCACGAGGAGGGTGGCCGGGCCGGCCGAGCCCTCTGCCCTCCGCCCTAGCGAGCACCTCGGTCCTGCCCAGCCACGCGCCTTGCTCCTCGCCGCTCCCCTGCCTTCTTGGGAGCTCTGGAGGCCATCGCAACGGGAGATGCTCTCTGGTCATTTGGGGGAAGAACTGATTGTGCTCCTACAATGGTACTCGCCCAACCAGATGCCCGCGATGCCCTGGGGGGACAAGGGACACAAAACTGGACCGGACTCGGACCCTGCCCGCCCTCAAGTTGCTGGGAGATTTAATAGAGATCGGATCTCTGCGTAAGTAGCTTCGGTACGAGATATGAAGTGGAAAGGTCAAAGGTACAGATAAAAATGCTCGGGAGTTGGGAGGGTGAGAAAGTCTGTAAGGAGGTGGTGTCTGAGCAGGTCTAAATGGATGGATGTGGTTGGGATATGCAGGGGTAGGGAGGAGGAGCCAGCCTGAGTGAGGGTAAAGCCTCAACCCAAGGCAGAGTCATGGGTGTGATACAGGTCGATCTAGCAAGTAACAGGAAAGCAAATGCAGCCAAGCTAGAACAGCTTATCCTCCCCTCTTCAGCAAATCAGACGGTGGTTACTACTACCACTTCAAACTCAAAAGAACTCAATTTCCCCTCCTTCCCACCCAGTCTACTTTTCATGTAACTTGTCCCCTCCCCGTAGAACATTACATCTTCTGTGACCTTCAGATCACGATCACAGACCAAAGGAATGAATAATGAAAGCAAACTAAAACGCTTTCACCAAATACATTTGAGAAAGCTAGAGGAATTTTCACTCTTGACAGTCAGGCTTTAGATTTGGAAATTTGATGAAACAAGATCCTCTTAAAATGGAGGTGATGGAGGTGATGGCGGTGGCACTGATTTTCGAAAGGAACTAACTTCTAGATTATGAAAGGAAAGCCTGTTCTTGCAGGTCTGGGACTTAGTTATGTCTGAATATGTAAGTTAAAGGTAGGACACATCCTTAGAGGTCATCTAGTCCAATCTCTCTCCTAAACAGAGTCCACTCTATAGCACCTCTAGCTGATCGATAATGCAGCATACACTTCAGTGTTCCAAGGGAAGAGAGCTCACTATCTCAAAAGGCAGCTATGTCCACTGAGGTAAAACTGTTGGAAAGTCTTCTATTTCGACCAAAAATCACACTCACTGGAGCTTAAAATGGAACAACACAGGAGTAGTCTTCATCTTTTTCATGACAGCCCTTCAAATACTAGGTTGCAGTCTTCATTACCCCCTCAGTCTTCTCTGTTCACATTAAACATACTCTGTTCCTTTGACCATCCCTTCTATGCTGATGCCCAACAGAACTTTCTGTGATAGAAATATTCTACAACCATACTGTTCAATATAGTAGCCAGTGTGGATGGAGCATTTGAAATGTTGCTACTGTGACTGAGGAACTGAATTTTTTTAACTGTAGTTGCCAGATGTGGCTACTGGCTACCATATTGGACAGCACAACCTTTTATTATCAAGTATTATCAATATTCTCCCTGTTGATCATTCACTTTTTTACACGCATTTGGGCTTGTCAACATCCACCAAATGTCTGGCACCTACAATGCAATACTGACCAATACAGCCTTCGGGGTGACTGTTTAGCACCTGGACAATATTTATATTAATGCTTTCCAGAATGGAATTCTTTTTTTTTTAATATCCAGAGCATATGTGGTTCACACTGATAATCACTAGAACTAGTATTTTGTTGGCAGTCCTAGTGCCTAAACTTGTACCACTGCATTTTTTAACCTAAATATAAGACTTGACATTTCAGCTTTATGGTTTAGGCCCAGAAGTTGAGGTACTCCAAGTTAATCATTTTCAAGCTTGCTTCAATATGGTTTACCAGCCAGCCAACTTTGTGGCATTTACAGATTTGGCATTTCACCATGTAACCCATATGTAGTCCTTTACAATTTACAAGGCACTTTTCATCCATTATATTTAATTTGATCCTTACAACAACCCTGTGAGGTAGGCAAGATATGAAATCTACATTTTATAGATAAGGCAGCTGAAGCGTAGTAGGAACTGAATGGATGACATCCTTTTTCTACTCCATTGAGCATCTTCTTGTACATTCTCTTCATCCATATCCTTGATAGAAATGATGAAGAGGACCTCCAGAGGCCAGGCTGACTCTGAATTCTTGAATAGTACTGACTGCTACAGCAGTTTAAACAGGTCAGTTCCCTCTTAAAAGTGTGATTATCCAACCCACTGGTTGCCATTCTGTCCAAAAGGATGGTACGAGAGACAGTAACCTGACTTACATAAACGCTAATAATAGTCCCATAGTAGAAAAGCAAATGAGGGTTGGCTGCCAGAAAAAAATTCTACTTGTCTGTATTCCACAAAGGGACTGTCATACCAACTGCTTAAAGAAGCCAAGTCTCCCTCTCTTTCAAAATCCCCATGGGGCCAAGTTTTATTGTTCTTATGGTTCTTAGCACTTATTACCCACATTGTAATTGCTTATGTACATGTCTTATAACTAACTTCAAGTCATTCATCTCTGTAACACCCAGCACTCAGCCTACTGCTGAGCATGTAGGAGGCACTCAAATTGGTAAAAGATAAACTGATTCAAGTGAATGTTCTTCCAACAGGATCTGGCCCCCCTCCAAAAACAAACTTGTGACTAGAAGACACACAGACCATTGCCACATTCTTGCCAACATGACTGATTAAAATGCCCTTACAGTTAGCTTGGTCACAGTTTCCAGCAAGTGCTAAGGCTTTTGCTAGTTAAATCAGCTTTCACTGGAGCGTTCTGTTTTCTACGTGTGTTTTGACGGAAGAGTAAAGACAGGTTCTCTAACAATAGGATTAGAATATACAAAATAGGATGACTCTTAATAATGTCAAATCAGTCAGTAAGGAAAATAAGTGACCAACAAAATGGAACATCTGACTGTAGGTCTTCCAAAAGAAAGGAAAAGGACTAACAAACACGAATATAGTGCTTTACCATTTACAGTTCTTTCACATACATTCCATTTGACCCTCACAACAACCCTGTGAGGTAGGCAGCACTGATCTTATTCTTCTCATTTAACAGATGAGGAAAGTGAATCTCAGAGCAGTTAACTGAAGTGCCCAAGGTTCTACAGTTAGTAAATAATTTGTATTAATATCAGTCTTTGGCCTAAAAATTCAGCACCCGACCTCGGCTCATACTTGCCCTACCTACTTCACAGGGATAATGAAGATAAAATGAATTCAAGGCTAGAAAAATACTTTGAGGGAAAAAAGCACTATATAATTATACCCGCAGACTATAATTTTCCACGATATATGGCTCATTCCCCGTCTTATCCCAGCTTGTGCATGAACCCAGAATTTTATATTGCCTCAGTTCTCTGCTCAACTAAGCAACTAAGTAAGGCAGGGGAACAGTGTGATCCTGTTTGAAGTTATATAAATTACAATCAGGGTAACTACTAGTATGGCAAATTGAAAAACAACACAGGCCAAGTGCAGCTAGGACCCACTGAAGCACAGAGCAAAGCAAGGCAACATCATCAGATAGGGCATGATTGCATAGAAGGAAACGTGGTGTCAGAGCTCAGACTGGCACACACATGGTTATCTAAGGCAAAGTGGTGGCAAAGAAGAGTTATTTGTTCCACATTATATAAACAAGAGCAGAAGATTCATGGGAACCCGTGCAAAAGCATCTTCTGTCACACAGCTGCCTACAGAGGATATAAACAACAGTCATCTTCATTTTAAAGAATGACTATACCTGTGTTCATATCCTGCACTAAACCAAGGAACAGCTCCATGCTGAACTTCCTTGGCTAAAATACAACCAGTACCATCATTCCTAGTCAGATTAATAAACAGAATGTCTTTTAAGGTAATGAATTAGATGGCTGTGTTTAGATTTTTTTTTTTTTCAGGATTCACTTTGGATTCTCCTGCTTTTAAGACCCAAAGAAAGTTATATTGAGTTTTTATTGGTGATTCTAAGTATATGTGTTTATAACAGTTAAAGTGTGATAGGTGAATTCAACATATTAAAAGAGTTCTAGAGCATCTGTTCAGAAAAGATTATATACTATACAAACTATTCAAGTCATACAAAACCATTTTTTCAGTGTCTTTTCAACTGAGAAGAATCCTATTCAGCACGCTTCTCCTCCTGAGGTGGTTCATACTGAGCAAGCTATAGGGCAAAGACAGAGGAGTTTAGGTGAATTTTATTCTAAATTGGGTAAAAAAACTTAATAGTAACAAAACGAGTAGTTAACTATTATATTCAAACTACTGAATCAGTAACTCTATATGAATATCCTATCCTTTTTAAACCATTTAAGATTAATACAATTTAAGATTTAATACAATCAAATGTAATGAAAACTCTTTCATATAAACCTTTAAAATTACTGGGAAACCAAAGCTGAATTTCAATTCATAACTGCGCTGCTCAAATACCTGATACGCAATAATCTATCTGTATCTTCCCAAAGATGTTGTGGCTTCTGGTAAGGGACTTTCTCTTTCTCTTTACCACAAGTTTACTGAACTTTCTCTTAAAAAGCAGAAAAAAATAATAATGTACCATATATTAATCTAGCCAGTTAATGAAGAGAAGTTCATGTCTTTGACTTAATGGATGCTAAGAGTTAACTGGTATTTGTGTTGTGGAATCTTGGACAATTTAAGATGCTGCATTTTCTATTATGCTAAGCTGTGGTTCCCTGCCAGAACACTAGGCTAGGATTTAGGTTGTTCCAATTAGCTGTCAGATTTGAGAAGATAATTAGACTTCACTGTGCTTTAGTTTCCTACCTATAAAATGGTCTGTGTACTTGTTTCGCTTATCTCGCAAGGTTGTTGAGCAGATAAATCACATTATGAGAAATGCGTAGAGTAATGTAAAATGCGTTATGTGATTCAGAGTGTGGAAAAACCTCAAAGACTTAGAGTTCACTAATTTGAAGTTTATGAAAATTCTCACAGGAGTTTCAACAAAGAAAAAACTTGAGCAGTAGACAAAATTAAGTGCAAACAAATTTATAGAGATAAACAGATTCCAGGGCCAGCACATACAACTGTGCAGATTATGCACTGCACAACTCTAAGAGGTGCCATTCACAAAGCATTGACCCTACAATGACCTACTTAAATCAACTGCTTATAACTCCCAGAAATCTCCATTTACTCATAAGCAGCATTAACCAATGTTCTCATCTTTTTTTTTTTTAAGTAGGCGCCATGCTCTGCGTGGAGCCCAATGCAGGACTTGAACTCATGACCTGAGATCATGACCTGAGCTGGGATCAAGAGTCGGCCACTTAACCGACTGAGCCACCCAGGTGCCCCGCTCATCTTTTTCTTGATGCAGGTTCCCAAGAACCTCTTCTTGACCACACATTGCTTGTCCTATTTACAATTTGTGGTTTTCTAGATAGGGCATCAGTTCAGCCTTGCAGTTAATCGAGATTATTTATCCTCCTCCCTCCCCTAATATCCATTTTAGTGAGGTTTTGTTCTTATAATCATTAAGGGTGAAATTATTTTTAACATGGATTCTTTTAAAACATTTACCTTTGTTTTCAGTTTTTTATTTTCTTCTACAATAGCTTCATATTTCTCTTTCATTTCTGCCAATTCTAGGCGAAGCAGCTCTATTTCTGGATTTTCTGGGGTAGCAGCTCCTAAGTGATGCTTTAAAAAACTAGTATCAAAGTTAAGAATTTACTTGAGCTGAATGAAACTAACGAAATAGCTCAGAGTAGTATCAATATCTCTGATCATGGTCACCCCACCTTACCACCAACATTTACCCAGAGATCATCATTGCAAAACATAAAGGAAAGTAACTTTTTCAATCGTCAAAAATATTTTAAATATTATCTATGTGAAAAAATAAGAGTTCCAAAGATAAGTCCTTTTTCTGACTTGAAAGATGAAAAGGATACTCCAAAGCACTATTAGGTTTCTCTGGTTCTTCATATAAGGCTACCAATACTGCAAATCAAAAAGCAGAAAAAAGCAACAATTAAAGTCTTAAATTTGAATGACTGAAATTATATAGCCCAGTAAATATTAAATGCCTATTATACAGCAAGCACATTGCTAGGACTGCCATACCATGGTAAACAAGGCAGATAAGGTCCCTGCTCTCAACAAATTTACAGTCTAGTGCAAAAGCAAAGAACTAGACCAAAAAAAAAAAAAAAAAAGAGCATCAAGCAGCAATATAGGATGATGGATTATGAGAGTACATTGGAAGAACACCCAACTCAGCCTAGAACACCAGGGAAGGCTCCCTAACGAAAGGAAATAAGACCTGAGACTTGGCTATGAGGGTTTCAGATAAAATGGGAAGGTGAGGGGGTGGGGAGGGCAAGAGAACAACACATTGAGGAACTGAAAATTCAAGTATGGCTAGATGGAGCTGTGAACAATGTGGCAGGGAAGGAAGCTGGCAAGGTGGTCAGGACGCAGACCAGGGAGGATCCTGCAAGTTTGGTTGGACTTTGATCCTCAGAACAGGCACATAATTAAACAGTTTTTAAGCAGGAGAGTGACAGGATCACTCTTGACTGCTGTGTGGAAGATCCAGAGTGGGACAAGGATGAAGGAAGGAAGAACAGTTAAGAGGCAGGTGTAGCAATCCAGCTGAAAAAGATAGTAACCTGCACTAGAGTGATGGGGGGTGAAAACAAAGTAGATAAATTTGAGAAAAATTTTGGAGAGAATCAACAGAGCTATGGTAATTACTGAAAGAAGCTTTGAATTCAAACTGTGCTTCAAGAATAGTTTCATATACAACATGCTAAGTAACCACCAACCAAAAACTTTACCAGTAATCAACATGCTCAAATCAATATTAAAATAGATGTTTTAGTTTATATCCAAAAGCTTATGTCAGCACTACCTTGCTCATCTTCTATTGAACAAATTCCTCCTGGGATTTACTACTCAGATAAAAATCTCTCTGAACCAGTGGTTAAATTTTTTGTGCATGGAACCCTTTGAAAGTGACAAAAGCCAAAAAATGTAACTATACACAAAAAATGTGCATCTCTAGACTCCAAGTTAAGATCTGTTGCAAAACTTACACGCTTCCTTTTTATTTTTTAGTTTTAATTCATCAAAATAATATAGACAGTATGAAAAAATCAAATGGCAATGATTTTTTAACAACCCGCACTGAGTTCTGATAGTTATTCTTCTAAGTATACTTACAACCCTGTTTTTTGAGAAATTGGTATATTTACATTACCACCACCCTCTCCTTTCAATGTTTTTCTTTAAATAACATACTTAAACCTGTTTCTTCTTCCATTAATATCCACTGATCTTTGCCAACTAACTTTATAAGACATGAATACTCTTACTACCCTTTTATACCTCTTCTTCCCCACCCCATTTCTTTCAGCTTCTAAATTTCTGTCAGTGGTACTATGAGGTTGATAATTACAGAACATAATGTAAATATCAAGTTTCCTGTGCTTTTCTATAGATTAAATATACTTCCTTTTTATCAGACAAGAACTCGATAGCCGGTGTTTCCCTTTTTGCCTTAGCAGGCGGGATTTTTAGAGGTTGATACGGTACTCAAAATATCTCAAATGCGTCTTTTTCCAAATGACTTATCTTTATCTTTAGCCATCCTTATAGTGTTTTAATGTTAGAAGCAGTTTCAGATCCTCTTGGAAATATGTTGTATTAAAATTATAAATTAAATATGTGTAAAGTACCCATGTTTGAAGCTGAAAATCAAATTTTAAATAGCTCACATCTCTGTAGAGACATTATGTTAAGTTCTCTGATATTATTTAGGAGACTGGAAATCTGCAGAGATTGAGGAGTTAGATGCCAGTATATGTGAGCAAAGGAAAAGAAGCCTTCAGGGATTTCCAGTCTCATGAAGGAGGAACCATGTATGGCCACAAGGCTGTTACCTCCCACCAAGGTCACTTCTCTGCCTTTTAACATTCTGTCTTTTACTCCGTCCAGCCACTCTGGGCTCCTTGCACTTCCTGGAACTCTTGACATCACATTTCATTCAGATCTGTGTTCAAATGTTACTTTTAAGAGAGACCTTCCCCCACCACCCCTTATAAATGGCACACCTGTTGCTCTTTATCCCCTTTGCCGTATTTTTATTCGTAACACTTCCCCTTGGCTGGCACTATGTATTTATTATCTGTCTCCTCCAACTAGAATATAAGCTCATTTAGAGCAGGGGCTTTTTTTTCTCCCCCACTGCTGTATCCCCAGTGCCTAGAACAGAGACCTGAATAAAATGGTGAAAGAAATGAAAGAAATGAACTCATGGAGTTTTTTAAAGGGGGGGAACCCTTCAAGAGAGGGCAGAGCACAGCACTTTCATAGAGTACTCCTGTCATGTTTGCTGAAATTTAATTGCAAAGAGATAAGGAAACTATTATCTGAACCTAAGGTAGATAGCAATTCAAAATTACCAGCCCACGCATGGGAATTAAAAGTCCTGCTTTCTGCTAAGACCCAGAGTTATTCTCCCAGAATTTTCTCCTAACCTTTGCTTCTGGCCAAAGAGCAGTTACCAAATAATTTCCCAGACACTTCTCATATGGACCCAGTCATCATCCCTGACAGCTCTTCTGTTCTATATCCTTGAAAGTTCTAGCCAATGAGTTGAATGATAAATAGCAGACATTCACATTATTGCTGAGCTAGTGAAATAAACAGTACCCCAACTATCTCTTGGAACTCTCCAGTTTCAAGCTCCTTACTCATCTTAGGTCTTGAACCCCCTTGGAGAAAGAGATACAGTGTAACAGCTTCCATCTTAAAAGGTGTAAACAATATAACCATTTTCATGTGCCCTCAAGCTCTTTAAACTGTAATTCTACTTATGAAATATGCACAAAGCAGGAATTGGTATAGCCTACGAAACGAGGGTTGAAAAACCACAACCAAATTGACTATGAATCGCCTACTTTGGGGATTGAGTTCACTTAGTTATTTTATAGGCAACTTTGAAATCTGGTAATTTTCCCACTTGCCCTTTGTTCGAGGGAAAATGCTTCTTTACATAATTTTGACTCCGCAAAAAGTAAGGAGGGAGGAGTTGGGATCTCAAGGTCTTTAGCAAATATGCTCGCTGCGACCGCTCGAGGCAAAGCAACGGAAGTTGGAGGGACTTTACAACAGCTGCAAGAGTTTCACTCCCCGCCCGGAGAGTGGTAGCATGAGCGAGGCTACCCCAACTCGGGCGGCGTCCGACAGCCAGACGTGCGCCAGTCCCTGCTGAACCCCGAGGCCCACCTTACCGGACCCCAGACAGTTCCCACCTGTTCCCCCTCCTTCCCCACACCTTGGCCCGTCAGGGGCGCAGCGCCGAGGAGCACGGCGTGGACACGAGGAACCCTCTCCTAGCCCATGCTCACCCTTGGTCAGCGTGTCCAGCACCCCCGACTTCTCCAAGTACCTCCGGAACTGCTCGCGCTTCGAGTCGGCGGCCTGAGGAGACACGGCGGGTCAGTGGCAGAAGCCCAGGGACCGGAGCAGGAAGAAGGCGCTGGGAGTCCGGCAACCCCGCCTCCGCCTCGCTACCTCAGGCCCCCAAAACCTGCGCGCGCGCCCCCACTCCCACCCCGAGCCGACCAGCGGCTGGCTACCGCCCGCACGCCCCCAGCCACGCCGCGCCCCCCTCACTTTGTAATGGGCCATAGTGACAGCGGCAGCGGCGTAGCTGGCGCCCGAGACCGTGGCTGGCGGGCTCTGAGCAGCACTGCTCATGCGCGGAAGGGCGCGCGCGCATGCGCACTTGCGAACCACGGTCCGAGATCGCAGGGGTGTGGCCTGTTTTCATGACAACCAGGACGCTCTGAGTGCCCCATAGTGGGCTAAGTCGAAGGAGGCTGCGTACACCCGCCTCTCTGCTCCCGGAGCAGCACCTCTCCTTCCTCTTCCGGTCCTTGCAGCGATTCGGTTGCTGAGCGAGAGGCGAGGTTTTGGTAACTCCGGACTAGTGTCCAGGTGGGGCCAAAGATGGGCGTGGCGCCCGGGGGCAGGGCCTGCGGAGGCCGATAGCACTAGGACTGTAGCAGGGTGTGATCTTCGGACATCGGTCTGGAGCCGACCTGTCTCAACTGGGACCTCATTAGGTGCGGCAACCTATATGTGCTGGCTTCTTGGCGCTCATCCTGAAAAGGTGCGCAGGACCGACGCATGGCGACCCTTGGGTATGCAGTGTCTTGAGAGGAGTGCTTAGAATCGTTATGTTTCAGCTCCAGCTTTTACTTTTGGAGTTTGTTTTGTGGCGGGCTTGATAGGGGCCTCTGGAGGGGGTGAGCAGTAACGTGCTAAGCTTTTGAGCGCTTACCGTGTGCCAGGCACTGTACTAAACACGTTTCTTATTTTAAGTCTCATGCTATCCCTGTAAGGTAGGCACTGTTAGTAAAGTGGCGAAGTTAGAGGACCAGGGAGGATAGAGCTGCAATTCCAATCTGGGCACTGAAATCACGATGCTATAAAGCCATCAATCTTTTTAAGATTTTATTTACTAGACAACAACATCATCATACTCAAGAGACATCAGGTTGCGGTCAATAAGGAAACTAAATTAAGTCCCAGGGACAAACAATTTAAACATTGTGCAGAAATAAGAGATTAGCAACTAAGAGGGAGAATTATGTAGAACAAGGAGAATCTCCTAAAGCTGTACTCCCTTCAAGGAAAAACCTGTTTCCAATCCATTAAGCCTCGATTCTAAACATGCGACTTTCCCAGAATCAGTTTTCATGAATTCTGAAGGGAGCCTGTGAAAAAATAATCCTGATACTTGGTAACTATGTCTTTGAATTTGAAACTGCTCCTTCACCACTCAGAATTAATCTGTTTTTCCTTTTTGAAATGGGTTTGCAATTTTCTGCCTGTAACACCTGGTCTTTAGAGCTGCCCTTGTCATGCCTGTGCTCCATCACCACTAGGCTACTTCTATGATAACATAATATGCAGAATGTCTAGAAGCCAAAAGCAGTTCAGATCTGAAGGTCTGTGGGAGCCCGCCTACCAGTGAGGTTATTTGTCAGCAACACCAAATGATTTGGAGGACAAGCAGTAGGATTATTGCAGCTTCTAGCCAAATCAGATTCAAAGGACAACTGTCCCAAAGAATCAGGAGTGTCTGGAATGTCAGGCGGTTGGCAGTATCCCAGTGAAGGAGGCAGGATGCTAAATGTGCCCTCTCTGAACTGACCCTTGAGGTTTCCTTTAGGAGGTGACACCTGATTTTCATCTTCCATAGAGGGACCACATGTAGACCTAAGCCACGACTGTTCCCAGGCACAGTTACCAGGCGGAGGGAAAGCTGTTTGGGATGACTGCCCCATGTGGTTGTCCAGATCTATAGCAACACCTGGAATAGAACAGTGACATCTAGAGCAGTGGTTCCTTTTGCTGTCTTTGCCATCAATTTCTCTTTTTTCCCTTAATGGGTTACCCACTTCTTTTCTAAATATTTTATGAGTGTCTTCATTATTACATGAGCTGATGTGTTGAAGATGACTACAGGTAGCGCTAAGTGTGCACATCTCATCGGAAAGTACAGTTTCTTGTTCATCCAAAATGCATTTCTCATCATTTCCACTGTAATTGTCAGGATCTGCCTGAGATGCAGGTGAATTTAAAATAGGGCACACTGCTGTGTGTTTTTGCTTTTCCATTAACAGCTAATAATCAGGTGCAGAAGAGAGTCTCTTCCGTGAATTAGCAGAGGTGCTCTGATATTTGGCATGATTGTGTTTTGACTTGTTCGCAAAGAATTCATTATGCTCATCCTTCCATTTATATTGTCCCCAAAGCCCTTTTTTAATCTTTTTAAAACCTAGGTGGAAAATTTCTAGAACATTTAAGAAAAGAGAAACAGTGGCTATAGATTGCATAAATAATAGGAATATTGTCTTTTCTGTTGGTCTTGAGACAAAACAATCAATTATATTTGGACATGGGTGGCCATAGCATTTAACTAAAGGCTCTAAATGAAATCCATATAAAAGATACTGTCCAATCATGAACCCAACCTCAACCACGGAGCGAGTGAAAATGTGTACCACGTAAGTGCAAAGCAGGGTTCCTCTGAGTGGAGCTTTATTTAGTTTCCTTTGTTCCAGCTGACAAAGTTCTTGCTTCAGTCTTCTCCGGTCCCCAGCCATTTCAAACTCCACGCCCTCCAGGGCCCCTCTCAGTTGAGCTTTCCTCCTCTGCCTCTCTTTCTCCAGAACCCTCAGTCAGTACAAAGCATGGCCCATATAGACCAGGGATGGTGAAGACACAAATATCACCTGCAAAACCCAGTATCTAACGAGGGAGATGGGAAAGGCCTGGTCATAGCACACATTTCTGCAGCCGGGTTGTTCTGTATTACAGATGAAACCGGACTGCTCATCATTCCAGACATCCTCAGCTGCTACACCCAGAACAAGCATTCGAAATATGAACAGGATAGTGAGCCAGATCTTTCCAATGATGGTGTAGTGGATGTGAACTTCCTCCAGGATGCCTCCAAGGAAATTCCAGTTCCCCATGTTTATTTAGTCAGCCAGCTTCACTCTGAACCCCATCAAATAGGAGACAGATAAATTCTTCCATTCTCAAGGGCATGCTATTTCGTAAAGCAAACCTATGGCCAAAACATGAACAAAGCATCACTCTCTTCATGTGCTGTTGCTCTACTTTTTCCCTAGAGAACTGTGATAATCTCACCAAGGATATATTTAAGATATCAGGAATTTAGGGGCGCCTGGGTGGCTCAGTTGGTTAAGTGTCTGCCTTTGGCTCAGGTCATGGTCCCGGGGTCCTGAGATGGAGCCCCACATGGGGCTCCCCGCTCAGCAGGGAGTCTGCTTCTCCCTCTCCCTCTGCCCCCGTTTGTGTGTGCACTCTCTCGCTCTCAAATAAAATCTTTAAAAAAAAAAAGATATCAGAAATTTACAATCACTTATGTTTAGACCTCATAATGTAATGAAGAAAAAAAAAGAGGGGCGCCTGGGTGGCTCAGTCAGTTAAGTGTCTGCCTTCAGCACAGGTCATGATCCCAGGGTCCCGGAATCAAGCCCCGTGGCAGGCTCCCTGCTCAGCAGGGAGACTGCTTCTCTCTCTCCCCTGCCCCAGCTCATGCTCTCTCTCTCTGCTCTCAAATCAATAAATCAAATCTTTAAAAAGAAAAAAAGATACCTGGAGGAGGGGCTGTATATATTCTCTATGAAGAATAGAACTGTGGATGGGGTGGCTTGGCTGGCTCAGTCAGAAGAGCATGTGACTCTTGAACTCAGGGTTGTGAGTTCAAGCCCCATGTTGGGTGTAGAGATTACTTAAAATAAGTAAATAAAAATCAAAAAAAAAAAAAACCAACTGTAGGATCCCCTATAAGAAAGGAGTCTTTTTTTTTTTTTAAAGATTGTATTTATTTATTTGACAGAGAGAGACATAGCGAGAGAGAGAACACAAGCAAGGGGAGTGGGAGAGGGAGAAGCAGGCTTCCCGCTGAGCAGGGAGCCCGATGCGGGGCTCGACCCCAGGATCCTGGGATCATGACCTGAGCCGAAGGCAGACGCTAAACGACTGAACCACCCAGGCACCCTGAGAAAGGAGTCTTGTTATTGTTAGCTGAAGTTTATTACTGTTTTACTTTGTTTAACTGAGAACTTTTGGAGAGGTTCCTAAAACTACTGACATGATCTTACAAACCTCTTTATTAAGATTATATAAAAACTATAACCAAAGTCAGTGAGTGTCTCATTTGAGAATTCAGTAAGAATTCTCATTTAATGAAATCAGAGGAAACAGATCTGGCTCTTGCTATAGGAATTTAGATTTGTTTTTTAATCCACATTTAAATGTCTAAATTCTGTTGGCTTTCTGGCAGTTATTCATAAAATTCTTAATTATCTATGAAAAATTGTGTACATTTTCATCATCTTAAAATGAACTCCAGTTAACTAAGTAAATCTTAAATTAAAAAAATAGAACTTCAAGATTAAAAAAAAAAACTCCAAAAATTCTCAACTATTTTTGTACTAGCAGAATGTTTTTATATAGTTCTTGACATAAACAGATGGCTGTGGTGGTGGTGGTATTATAGGTATTTTCATTGTAACAATATTTGACCTATTTAAGACACATAGCTTGCTTTTTTAGAAGGAACAGTCAGGCTAGTTATAATTTAGATGCTTGGATTATCAAGAAGTACATTCCATATTAAGGTAGATATCCTAATGTATCTAAGAGGAAATATACCCCACAGGAAAGAGAAAAAGAGGAATGTTTTCATAACTTTCCTTCAAAATATCAATATGTGTTCTATATCCCTTATATAAAGGGAAATGTTACACAATTAAGTACAATACTGGGATGCTATAGCTAAATGATATGTTCATCACAAAAGCCTTATGAGGTAGGTATGTTGTTTCCCCAGTTTACAGATGAGGAAACTGAGGCACACCTAAATTATCCAAGGTTGAGGCAGCTGGGTGGCTCAGTTGGCTAAACATCCAACTCTTGATTTTGGCTCAGGTCATGATCTCAGGGTTGTGGGTTCCAGCCTCACGTCCGCCTCTGCACTGAGCGCAGAGTCTGCTTGGGACTCTCTCTCTCTCCCTCTTCCTCTGCCCTTCCCCCACCAAATAAATAAATAAAATCTTCAATTACCAAAGGTCACACAGTTGGAACTGACATTGAAAATCAGTGTGGCTCTAAAGTCAGGTCCTATTCTACTAAACTGTTATTTTTTTCCTCTTTGGGTGCACTTAAGATTTGCATGAAAGAAACATTAGGAAATCATCTGTTTTCTCTTAAATGTTTATTTAAATTAGGTATGTCAAATAGTGATAGTTTGGGCTTTTTAAATAACTGATTCTAAAGTCTTTAGTTCCTTTTCTAAAGCTTCATTCACTTGAAAAGATTTACAAAAGCATCAACCTTCTAAAATTTAGTTGTATTTCTGAGAGAAAATTTCTATTTAACTTTATTATGTTAATAATAATATATTCTTTGATCCAACAATCCAAAACACTTTAAAGTGTAAGCAATGGTATCATTCATGTTGTTTATAATAATCACAAATTGAAACTGTCCAAAATAATTATCAATACAAGAAAGACAGTATTGTACTTAATAAATAATAGTGCATCTATAGTATGGAACTATGCAACC